GGAGCCACCTGTTCCCCCACCCCCTCCAGCATCGCCGCTCCCTCCCTTTGAGGCACCAGCGCCTGGCGGGTTGATGCTTCACTTCCTCCCTCCACGTCCCAGGGTGCTTCTGGGTCCGGGGATGCAGGGCAGCGCAAGATGCCCGCTCCCTCCGCCAGACGGCAGGAGTTCGGGTAGCTTCGGTGCTGTCAGCACCAACAGCATCGGTTACCTGTAGCCACGTGGCCTCCGTCCTGCTCCCCAGCGCCTGCTCCACGGTCAGGTGCCACCAGCGTGCTGCCCACCAGGTGAGCAGGGTGGTGTCCCAGGGACCCTGCACGGCCCAGGTGTGGCTGAGCAGGCTCCGTTAGCAGCCAGTGGTGCAGCACTGTGCAGTCAACAGGCCAGCTTCATTCTCCTTTAAGCCTGGCTCCCCTCCAGAGCAGCTGCTGAGCTGTGCCCAAGGAGGCCCTGGCTCTCTCCTCCCTCCATCTCTGGCAGCAGCTGCCTGCAGCTGTGGGCGGCCAATGAGAGTCAGTCTGACAGCTCCAGTGCTGCCCAGGGCAGGCAGGGGTGCTTTTGGGGACCATGCTTTGCTCTGCCCCAGCTTGGGAAAGCTGAGCAGCCAGCTGAAACTGAGGGCCTGTTGCAGAGCTCCTTGCGTTTTGGAGCTGTGGGCTGATGCTGCTTTTCCATGCTTTTGGTTTATCATGCTGGGGGAGGATGGGTATAGGCAAACAACTGTAGGCAGAGCTCTTAGGAAGTGTGAGGCTGAATGAAGGAAACTCAAGATGTTGGGCCAATTTCTTCCCTCCCCGCAGGACAGCCAGCCTAAAAATAATCCTTTGCCTCCTGCTGTGCATGGAAAATCAGCCTGAGAGGAGTCCTCAATCACAGCAGTTCAGGGTCTGCTTGGGTTAAGAGCGTAGTTAGTCTTGTGTGCCTTGGAATGTGTGTGTGGGAGAATATAACCAGTGCTACGGACAGGGAACTCCCATGGAAAAATGAGGCATGTATCCTTCACAGTGACACAGACTAACTAGTGTGATGAACTGCTGGAAGGGGCAGTAGCAGCCTAAGTGCTTGAAGGCTGTCCCGTATTCCCATGTGCAGCCTAGGAGATGGATTTCAACCAACATGTGCCACCTGGCCAGGAGTCTCAGGAGTACTTTTGCTAGGAATCTGTGGGTTTGGAACAAACCAGGCACACAGCATGGGAGTCTATGAACCCTCATGTCTTCTTTCAGCCATCAGCAGTTGTTTTGGAGGGGAAGTGGGAGCAGAAGGGTGCCCAAGGGTGTGTATGGAGAATCCCAGCAACTCCCTGATGGCCCTGCCTGTTCCTCTGCAGGATGGTTCCCCCACCACCTGTCAGCAAGCCCCACGTGTGCATCTCCACTGTGCTCATCATGACCAGCCTTGTCCTCATGGATGCCTACCTGGTGGAGCAGAGCCAGGGATCCAGGAAGCTGGGCATCTCCATCATGGTGGCAGTGGGTGACATGTGCTTCCTGCTGGTGCTGCGCTACATGGCCATGTGGGTCGGGGCAGAGGTGAAGACAGCTAAGCGGGGCTATGCCATGATCCTCTGGTTCCTCTATGTCTTTGTTCTGGAGATCAAAGTCTACTTTGTGTACCAGAACTACAAAGCTGACCGAAAAAGCCTGGATCTGATCGCCCGCAAAGCGCTGACCTTGCTGCTGTCCATCTGCATCCCAGCCCTCTACGTGTTGTTGGTGGCCACGGAGCACATGGAGTATGTCAGGACATTCAAGAAGAAAGAAGATCTCCGCAACCGCCTCTTCTGGGTCATCGTGGACATGCTGGATGTGCTGGACATCCAGGCCAACCTGTGGGAGCCCCAGAAGAAGGGGCTGCCGCTTTGGGCTGAGGGCATCATGTTCTTCTACTGCTATATCTTGCTCCTGGTCCTCCCTTGCGTGTCCCTCTGTGAGATCAGCATGCAAGGGATCAGCATCATGCCGCACCGCATGATGCTGTACCCCATGCTGAGCATGTTAACTGTCAACATCACCACCATCTTCATTCGAGGCAGCAACATGGTCTTCTTCAGGGATGCCCGGGTCTCCAGCATCTTCATGGGCAAGAACATGTTGGCCATTGGGCTGAAGGTCTGTATGTTTGTGCAGTACCAGCGGCACCAGAACCACACATCCCTGGGGCTGGACCTGGCCCTGCAGCACAGCACCCAGGCCCAGCCCTCCTCAGGACTGCACAAGTCCCGGAACCAGCCTGCCTGTCCTGAGAAGCTGGCCCAGGACAACACATGACAAGTCAGCAGGAGCCACAGACTGGGCACCACCACGCCTGGCTGAGCCTGCAAACATGAGGTGGGCTGCTGAGCTCCTCACCTGGATGAAGGCAATGACCTGACTCTCTCCCTCCCTGAGCAAAGCTGCTGTGGTCCCCAGGGGTCGCATGGTAAGGGCCCCCTGTAGCTGCCTCCATAAGGCTGCAGAGCAGTTTGGGACCTTGGCACCCCACCAAGATGGGCAGCAGAGTGGAGGAGGCCGGGCTTGCCTGCCACACGCTGTGTCTTACGAGGTCCAGGCAGCCCAAGCCTGTGCAGGTCTTCCCCCATCAGTGCTGCCTGCTGGCCAGCCAGGGCTCGGGCCAGAGGGCTGCAGAGGGACACTGCAGGTCACCCGCTCTGCTGTTGGTGGCCCTGGCTCCAGCTCAGTGCTGGGCAGCCACCTTCTCCCCAGCTGTGTGAGCCAGGGTCCCTGTGCTGTGGGAGCCAGGCAGGGGCCTCCCCCTGCCAGTCAGCCCTCTCAGCCAGCTGCAGGCACGGGGGGCTCAGAGGGGTTGACTCATTTTTTGTATCTCCCACTTTGCAATAAAAAGCCTGAGCCCTGCAGCCTCCTCATGTGTGTGTCCCTGCTGGGAGGTGGGTCCCCCCAGCTCCTGTGGCACCTGGTCCCCTGCAAGCCTGGATGTCCAGCTGCAGAGCACATCTGGGGTGGGGGGCTTGCTCAGTGACCACCCAGGCCTGGGGAGACCATTCCAGGCACCTACCTGTGTCTGAAGCCATTCCTCCTGGCCAACAGGGAGAGTCAGGTGGGTTCTCAGGGTGTCACTGGGGACGTATGTGTGGGGGCTTTGTCAGCTAGCACTGCCTGAGCAACCACCTGCACTTACATCAGTGCCAGCCCAATGGCTGCCTTCCCCAAGAACACCCAGAGCAAGTCCCCACACTTCACCTGGAGGGACACCAGAGCTAGCCTGGCAGATGCCCTGTCAGGGCAGCATTAGAATCACAGAATGGCTTGGGTTTCAAGGGACCTTAAAGATCATCTAGTTCCAACCCCCCTGCATGGGCAGGGACACCTCCCACTAGATCAGGTTGCTCAAGGCCCCATCCAACCTGATGTTGAAGACTTCTAGGGAGACTTAGAGATGTGCCGAGATTCAGGCAACTCTTGAGTTCTTGGCTCAGACCGCATGAGTGCTAAATGTCACTAGAGCAGTATTAAAAATCACCTGTCTGTATCTTATCTACCACTAGGAAGATAACCTCCAGCCTTGGCTAGGCTACAATGCACAATCAAACAGCAAAAAATCTCCAGAAACTAGCTGACATGTGCCCATAAACTCAAATTATTCTGTGAGCTCTACTCATAGAATGGTTTGGGTTCAAGGGACCTTAAAGATCATCTAGTTCCAACCCCCCTGCATGGGCAGGGACACCTCCCACTAGATCAGGTTGCTCAAGGCCCCATCCAACCTGATGTTGAAGACTTCTAAGGAGGGGGCATCCACAACGTCCTTGGGCAACCTGTTTCAGCATCTCGCCTATCCTCACAGGAAATAACTTTTTCCTAGTGTCAAACCCTAGAATTAGAAACAGGAGGAAAATAACTTCCTGCGGCTAGGATGCCTAGGAGGCTAGAAAGCTCTCTGAAGATTTTGAAATCATCTTTTCCCATGAGCTCTTGCTGCCACGATTCTGCCTGCCTCAACATCCAGTGCAACAAGCCTGGCTGAGCTGGGCAATGTTCCAAGGCTTCCCCCTGCTCCTAGGTACCTGCTCCAGGAGCTGGCAAAGATAGGTAGGTCAGCAGACCTGTTCCTTACTGCTAATATGTTCAGCAGAAGCAGGCAAGATGTCTGGAAGGACGCCCCCCTTACAGGCAGGCACACAGGACTCTGCAGGAAGCAGCCATCTGGCTCCAGATGGGAAAGTGGGACCACTTTGGGGGTGCACCATGTTTGCTCCCTGCTTGGCAGGATCTACCAGCAGCTGGGGATTGGGACACATGGACCAAGGAATGCAAGGCCCTGGCAGCAGTGAGCCACCTCCAGCCTGGCCAGGCCCCCGCCTTCTTCTTTTCTAGCTTTAAAGTACAGCAGAGTATTTTATCTGCTTTGACTTAAAAACGGAGAGCACAGAACAGCAGACCAATGCCACGAAGGGACCAGGATAACCCTAGGCTTTGGTGCTGCCACACTACACCCAAGATAACTCTCCTCTGAAGACACAAAGATGCAACAGGCTCCGCATTCCACATGAGACAGGGAAAAGAGCAAGAAGCCCAGCACAGTCCAAAGCAATAAGCCACAAGCAGGTTAAAAGCAGCTGAGGATTTCCATGCAATCTGCAGCCAAACTAGCACATCCCATCTCTATTGCCCTCCCCCAATAACACTAAAACCTGTCACCAGAGCTGAACTCACATCACCCACAGGAACAGCAGTGGAGGCAGATGCTTCAGCTACACCCTCAGGTGGGTGTGATGGAGTTGGAGAGAGGCATTAACTCCTCTAAGTTCAAACACTTTTGATTGTAATAACACCAACACTGGGAATAAAGGAAAACCGAGGTATTTCATAAAGAATCAGTATCTGCCCATGCAGCAGGGTGGATCATCTCTCCTTTACTCAGCACTTTTGAGACTACATCCAGGCTAGGCACCCAAAAGAAAGATGTTGGTCCTCTGGGCTGACTCCAGCTGAGGATGTGAAAATTGTCAGAGGCTGGAGCACTGCAAGGAAAGGAAGGGAACAGGGTTTATTCACCCTCAGGAAGAGAAAGCTTTGGGGAGACCTAAAAGGACCCATTTCCCACTCATTCCCCAGACCTATATAACAAGGCTACTGAGAGGACCGAGACAGGCACTTCACTGAGAACAAGACCATTATTATGAACTAAACTCCAACTTTACGTTTCCTGGAGGAAGGGGAAAAAAACAACAGTTTAATCTTGAGAACTTGAAGCAAAGGAGCAGAGGTGATGGCATCTTGGACTGTCCCAGACCCAACTGAAGAAGCGCTGGGCAACCTGATGTCAAGTCAGTGCTAGTCCTGCTCTGTGCAGATGTTGAACTAAAGCCCTCCCACCTGACGGCCTTTCCCACCTCAGCTGGTATCTGGTAATACCTGGAGTAGAGCCAGCAATTCAGGGTAGGGCTTGTGCTCTCCTGGCTAGAGAAAGAGATGAGCAGGTGCAAGGACAGACACAGCTGTCTGCACACACCACGTGCATCCGCAAGACAGACTTGTCACCACACAGACATGGTGTAAACCACAACTGAAGAGGATGTTTCAGCTGAAAAGCAGATAGTTGGAAGAGGGATAGCCACCTTCCAGGCCTGGCAAGGACAGAGTAAGACCCAGTGCCAGACCACAGCCTGTCTGCAGTCATGAGTTCTTCTGTGAGGGCAGACGACGCTTGTCTTTGATGGCATTCCTCTTCCTCTTCTTGTTCAGGAAGCTCTCCAGCTTTCCACTCCTCTTCAGCTCTGAATACTTCTCAGCTAGCTCCAATTTCCGCTTCTCAGCTGCAGAGAAGAGGGGAGCAAGGTTTTAAACTGAAGCCCAAATAAACTCTACCCTTCTCACCTCTCCCTCCCTGGCTCCAGGCCTGACTCCAGTACCAGCACTAGAACAATCCCTCCACAGCTCTGTGGAATATTATGGACAACTGACTTCCTGTGCTTGGAGTCCTGTCAGCAGTACTCCCCTCTAGGTCTTCCTGCAGCATGTTCACAGTGAGTACTTACATTTCTTTAGGAAGAAGGGTTTCTTTCCTTGCTTGGCCAATTCCCTCTGTTGCCTTTTCAAAGACAGCTCCCTCTCCCTCAACTTCTGCTGGTTTTTCTGTACCTGTTCTTGCTGTGTCTGTACAGAAAAGATAGCCCGTGTCAGCAAATGTCTAGGCAGACCTCAGGTTGCACATCTTCTCTTTTTATGCATTGTCTCACAGGAGAGGAGAAGCTGCACTGAACTCACCATTCGGTTTAGGAGTTGCTGGAGTTTCTCCTTCTCCTCCGTGTTCCTGCACTTTTTCAGCTGCTTCTGAACCATCTGAAGAAGAGAGCAGAAAGCTGCATGACTGCCTGCTACCTCCACTGTGAAAGGCTTTTGTGGAAGCTGCCCCTGTCAAGCAAGGTTCTTCTGGTCAAGGACAGGCACACAGTATCACCTCCTTCTCCTGCTTCTTGATGCTGTCCAGGAAGCTGTACGTCTTCATAAATATTTCAGGCTTATACTCTCCAGACAGGTCATCAAATCGAGGGTCTCTGTGGACCTGAAGGCAGGGAAGGGAAAGGTAAGAGCTGTGGCCAGGATTAACCTGTTAATAGCCTGCTTACTCCCCTTCCATGGATCAGACCTTGCCTTTTTTTTTTTCTTTACTAGCAATATTATGCACCCACTGTTGAAAACATCTGCAGTTGGAAAAGACTGAATCTGATAATCAAGGTGGCAGTCCCTCACAAAATCACACCCGCATCCAGTCTGTGAAGTAACAGGCAATTTTCATATGCAAGTCTACCACCCAGGGAACAGTCAATTCAAGGAACAGCAGCATGAGTGCTGCCTCCAAACACCTGCAACTCCCAGACCAAGAGCTGGCTGAACATGTGTTGTCAAGGTGATGGATCTGGGAACTCAAATCTATTTAGATTTCCACAGATTAGCTGAGTCAGGTCATATAAAAAAAAAAAAAAAAAAGAGACAAAATGAGATCTCTAACTCTGGAAATTAACAGGTTAAGATGATCCAGCAATGATAAGTCATATTCACATTAGAAACTAGATGGACATTTGAACTTTCAGTGTGATCAGAACTGAACAATGACCATGGCTTGCAGTGCAGTTGTCATCGCTGGCAGCCAGTGCACCTTCTAGAAACATTTAGATCCCAAATGTTCAAGTTACTCTTCAAGCTGTGCACTCTGCAGGGCAGCACATTATACAGAGAGCAACTGCTCCTGCACCCAGTCTCATGCTCACCTGAGCTAGCACTACCTGCACTCACCAGAGAATGAATGG